ATAGAGCAGGAATCCGAAAACAATTGACCAAACTGTTTTTCCGTTTTCTTTTTTTTTGCATTTTTTGGCCAGGGCCAGGTTCAAACCCACAATCCGCAGTATATGAGGCCGGCACCCTACTCCTTGAGCCACAGGCACCACCCAACCAGACTGTTTTTGTAAAGTTTTGTTTTATTGATACTTTTTTTTTTTTTTGAGACAGATCCTCAAGCTGTCGCGCTGGATAGAGTGATGGACATCATAGCTCACAGCAACCTCCAACTCCTAGGCTCAAGCGATTGAGCCACAGGCGGCAAGCCTATTGATACATTTTTTATATACTATTTACTTTTTTTTTTTTGAGACACAGTCTCACTCCCTTGCCCAGGCTAGAGTGTCACGGCCATGGCACCAGCCTAGCTCACAGCAACCTCAAACTCCTGGGCTCATTTGATCCTCCTGCTTCAACCTCCTGAGTAGTTGGGACTTATTAGGCACCCACCACAACACCTGGCTAGTTTTTCTAGTAGAGATGGGGTCTCGCTCTTGCTCAGGCCTATCTTAAACTCCTGCACTCAAGCAATTCTCCTGCTTTGGCTTCCCAGAGTGCTAGGTCAACCGGCCTACTTTTACCTATTTATAGGGTATATGTGATATTTTGTTTTCATGAAGTTTTATGGGAACACAGTCCCACCCAGTATTTTTTCATTGTCTGTGGCTGCTTCTGAGCTATAAGGGCAGAGTTAAGTGGTTGCGACCATGTAGACTAAGATATTTACTGTCTTCCTCCTTTAAGGAAAAAGTTGCTGTCCCTTGACTGGCCGAGGTGACTCATTCTCACCTGTAGTCCTTGCACTCTGAGAGGCTGAAGAGGGTAGATTGCTTGAGTTCAGGAATTTGAGACCAGCCTAAGCAAGAGCAAGACCCTGTGTCTACTAAAAATAAAAAAACTAGCTGGGCATTGTGGTGCACACCTATAGTCCTAGCTACTTGAGAGGCTGAGGCAAGAGACTTGCTCAAGAGTTTGGGGTTGCTGTGAGCTATGATGATACCACGGCACTCTCTATCTGGGGTAACAGAGTGAGACTGACTCTTAGGATATATGGGTGTCTTAATTAACTTCTTATTGAAATATACAGAAATCATTAACTATGAATTTCAATGACTTTTCACAATTTAAACATGCATGTATAAGTAGCCCCCAGATGAAGAAACTAAACTTTATCAGCACCCCAGAAGCTCCCTCTATGCCCTCAGTGGGGGCACCCACTATACTGACTTTTAACACCATACATTAATGGTATATAGTTTTTCCAAAATTAATTGGATTACAAAAGCAGAAACTTTTAGTTCCTTTTTATATTCTGCATTAGATAACACCATTTTTGGTGTTTTAAATTTAGCCTAGTTTTCTGAAATGCAAGCCAGTTCTAAAGTGCCCTCTTTTGCTACAGATTCAACATTACCATGGGACATCAAGGCCTAATTTTATGTTTTCTTTTTCACAGAGAAGTTTCACTTTAAGTCATGGATGATACAGGTCAGTGCTCAACTTCTTCTTTCTGAGATTTTTGCCTTGTCAAGTTTTCTGTTACCAAACCAAACTATATCAGATTTGAGATAGTAAAGGAGGGATTTTCCAATCTTGTCCCCCTGGGTCTTTCCAGACTTCAAATTGGCCAAGGATTAGGAAAGATGCAGTTAAATAAACTCCTTCCCAACCATGGTTCCCAGTGACACTTGGCTGGCAGCCTTTCTCCTGAGACAGAGTCACACTGTCGCCATTGGTAGAGTGCTGTGGCGTCACAGCTCATAGCAACCTTCACCTCTTTGGCTCAAGCGATTCTCTTGCCTCAGGCTCTCAAGTAGCTGGGTCTACAGGTGCCCACGACAACACCCAGCTATTTTTAGAGATGAGTTCTCGCTCTGGCTCAGGCTGGTCTCAAACCTGTGAGCTCAGGCAGTCCACCCACCTTGGCCTCCCAAAGTGCTAGGATTATAGGTGTGAGCCACCGCGCCCGGCTAGCAAGCAGCCTTTCAAGCCTTTGGATTCATTTCCATATTTTGTATACAAAGCACATTTGGGGGAATACAAATTAGTATAGCTACTATGGAAAGTAGTAGGGAGATTCCTCAAAGAAAATAAAAATAGACCAACTTATGATCCAGCAATCCCACTACCGAGTATATAGCCAAACAAAAGGAGGTCAGTGCGTCAAAGAGCTATCTGCATTCCCATGTTACAGCACTAGTCACCTTATCCAAAATATGGAATCAACTTAAGTACCCATCCAGTGGATGAATGCTTAAAGAAAATGTACTGTATATACACAATGGAATACTGTTCAGCCATAAAAAAGAATCCTATCATTTGCAGTGACATGGTTGAAATTGGAGGTCATTATATTAAGTGATCTCATATGATCTCTTATGTTATTTGGATCTCATAAAGATGGAGAGTAGATTGTTGGTTACCAGAGCCCAGGAAGAGTAGGTGGGAGGGGGAAGAAGAGAATTTGATTAATTGGTACAACAGCATAGTTAAATAAAAGAAATAAGACCTACTGTTTGATGAATTACTAGACAGCTATAATAAACAATAACCTATTGTGTATTTCAAAATCGCTAGTACAGAATAATTTGAATGTTCCAGCATAAAAAAAAGATAAATGTTTAAGGTGATGACTATTCCAATTACCCAGATTTGATTATTACACATATTGAGTGTATCAAAATATCACAAGTACACTGAAAATATGTACCAGTTTAAAAATTAGACTCATTTTTTTTTTTT